AAAGAGTTGAAGCAAAGAGTGGGAAGGGAAGAACAGAAAAATTGTTGGGTTAAGTAATAAATCCCTGTACTCTCTATTTTTCCTGAAATGGACGAAGATATTACAGAAACAGGCTCTACTGAGTGTGTATTTCCTTTACCAGTTTCAGTGGGGAACAGAGTTAAGAGACTGAGAGTCCTGAGAAGGTCCCATTGTGCTCTTGTGGTGCTGCTGCACAAGGGTTATTCTCTAAGCCAAATGAGCTCTCCAGCACCTTTTCTCTAGCACTAAGCAGATCAATTGGTTGTGCTTTCCCTTGTGGCATCTGGTTGCCTGCCTGAAACCCATGTTCCTGCCCCTGTGTGTAGAGAAGCAACAGAATCCCAGTGTAGCCCCATCTGTTAGGGGCTCTGGGGCTGGAATAGCAGGTGGTTTGTTTTCCTTTCTTCCCCTGTCTTAATGGGAAGAGGAGCTAAATCTTTCTTAACTGTAAGGCTGAGCTCTTGCAGCACAGAGCTGATCCGAGTTAAGTCCTTGCAAGTCTCAGAAGGATGTCAGCTATTTCATGCAACGCATATTACTTCAGTACTTACAAAATACAAAAAAGCTGGTTCAAAACCCAACATTTTGAAATGGCTTTGGGCAAAAGACTATGTAGTTGGTGCCTTGATCTGCAGAGAGGATTCTGTGCTTGGACTCAGTACTGGGCAGCCTGTTTCCATAGCCAGAACAGAATTGCTTCCTTTGGGCAGTAGGAGATTTTGCTGAATTGGGAAGGATTATTGCATCTGCCAGGGGGTTTGTTCCCTTTGGAAAGGTCAATTCCATCTTCTTATTGCAGCAGCCCTTTGCATCTGTGAAAATGATATGTAGGGACTAAGCTCAGGCAAATCTATATATACATGTAGGCAGTGAAGATGCAGACATAACCGCTGTGATTTCTTTATGTCTATCAAACGCGTATCCAAATCACACCGACAAAAATGGAATTCTCCTACTGAAACCCCAGTACTAGTTTTGGGATGTATTTTGGACACCACCTCCAGCAGAGGCAAGCCCTGGCATTCCCACTGCTGCATTTTCTTGCTAGCCCAGCCTTTCCCTCTCCTCCTGGTGAGGAGGGCTGTAAATCACTGTGCCTTGCCTGTTGTTTGCCCTCACAAGGGAGCAGTGTGCGCAGAGCGGACCCCCGCGCAGCTCCGGGGCACTGATGGTTAATGAATGCTCTGTTGAGGGCAGCCCCCCTGGCTGTGCAGCCACAAATCCTTCTAATAATGCTGGGTGTCGACAAGGTCAGGAGGTCACCACAGGCTGGTATATATCAAGCTTCACCAGAAAAATGCAACTTTAGCTGAGCCGAGCATTTCCCGGTGGCGCCAGCCTCTCCAAGCCCTCATAAAAGGACTGTCTGCAGCCATCTACTGCTGAGTAATAACAGCCACCACCAGGCCCCTAAAATTATAAGGACAAATTAAATTGGCCCTTTCCATATTTTGTGGTACCTAAACACATGTTCCTTTGCTTGTTACAGTAATAGCAGGAAGCTGTGTGCAGGGTTTTACAACTACAAGCGGTATGCTGAAGACATTCACAGTTAAAGCTGTTGGTAACAGGTTTGGGTAAATTTCACTGGAAATGCTTTTTGCTTCATGTCATTCTTTCTAATACATCACCATAATAATGCTTTGTTCTGCTTTCCACAGAGTGTTTGTTCTAAGATCTCAAAATTACTTGGGAACATTAATGAAAACAAGGAAATATTATTCCTATGTCCCACATGGGACTGTCTGTCGGAGAGGTTCAAGTAAGAGGACAGTTTGGAGAATAGAATTCAGATACCTGCTCTGGTCCTTACTCTACTCTCCGGACTGGGATTAAAACACAAGAGTCCATCATCCTCCCCACCTTCTGGATTGAATGTTTTCACATGATAGATGTGTTCTGAGTACAGTTTATTAAAGCAGTAATGATTGACTGATCAAGTACATACAGCATCATAGTCCTGATAGTATTGAGAGGTTAGTAGACCAAATAGGGAAATAGGAGTTACATAGGAGTAATTCTTTAGAAATTTTAAAATAAAACTTTGTAGTATTTATACTGTGGTGGTGATTCATTGGCTTTCTGTACGAGGAAGGTAGTTACTAGATTCTTGACTTGGTGCAGTTAATTCCATAAATGAGGGCCCTAGCACTTGCCTCTGAAGACCATGATCGTGATACACATAGAGCCCTGGTGTTACCAGGAGGAGATGAGTTAGAGTATTTTTACAAGCGGTTGGGTTAGATTAGGGGTAGCAGCACCCCAGATGTGGGAAGTACTCTTAGATTGTGTTCTTCTTAGATATGTCCCAGTAAATCAAAAGCAGAAGAGGTAGTCTATAGGCCTGACTGGCACAATGCAAATTACAAATCCCTGGGCCTCAAAGGGAGAGAAGATGAGTAGCAAAAGCCTGGCCTGACCCCGTTCATCAAGAGGATGCCAAAGGCTCTTTCAAATGGCTGCTCTTTTCAAATGTAAGGATTAATTTTCCTGGCAGAAGAATGTTTTGGATTTTTCAACTGGTGGGAGAAGAGGGCCTTGAATATACCCAAGTGCGATCCAGCAGCATCGTTCCCTGGTGCTCTGAGGGAGTGTAAAGAAGAGACTTTATTGAGTGTTTGGAGTCTCTGAGGTCTTGCTTGAGCCTTGGTACTGAAAACAATCATGGAGCTATTCAATTAGATTATGGATGTTGTGTCAGGCATAGTCTGAGGGAGATAAATGCACCAGGAAGAACCCTCAGCATTAAGCACCTTGCAAGCATTCCTCATCAGGTCACAGATGCCTTCTTCCTCAGTTGTATGACAGCAATTGCAATCCTCTCTGCATTTCCCTTCTCTTACTGAAACATACTTTTCCAGCAGAAGAAATCCCTAGGGTTTAGTGTCTCATCAGTTTTCTGAGCAGTTTAAAATCATTATTATTCTCATGAGTTCTCTATAAAATGAAACTAAATCTGGTGATTTTTCTCCCCCCTTTCCCCAGTTATTGATGAACAAGCAAATTGGATTAAAAAGATATGAAGTGGATGGAAGAAAAGTCCTTTTTTATTTTGATGAGGTAATGACTTGGTTTCTTATAATTACGTTGCTTTTCCACGCATAGGTACAGTGTATTGGTATTGGTGGTCCCTCACAGATGGGATTACCATGCAGCTTTAACTGGCCAGGTGCTTGAGCCTCTTTTGAGGCAGGTAGCTGCTGTGGGTTTGGTTGGAAACCAAAGCATAAGAAAGGCAGGTGATTAGCTTCAGCCCATATAGAATTTGTGGGCAGATATCACTTAGGTTTTGCCTCAAAATAATGTCACCTTTAGGTACAACTATCCTTGCTAAATGGGCAGAGTAAAAATGCAGTCTAATTTAGACCTCACAGCACATACCTGAGAGTGGAAGATGAGATCTCTCCTGGCTTGGTCATCAGCAGTAAACTGTTAGCTAGTTGAAATAGCAATCTGACTGATGATAGGAGTGGTGTTAGGTAAAACAGGGAATACAGCTTGGGATTCAGCTTTGCCATTGTTGTATGGCAAGTATGTGCTTTAAGGGCTAGCAGGGTATCATGTTTTAATTCACCATCTGCCTTTTACTCATCTTTGTCTCCATACCTTGTATTGGAAGTGTGATTCACTCTTCCCAAGTGTCCAGCACAGTGTGTTACATTAGGGGCACCTGCTTCATTTGTTTGTCTCTCTCTTCACTTGATGACAGGGTTTATTACAGAGTCTTTTCCATGATTTCATGCAGATTCCTAGCCAGTGCATGACCTGTGTAAAGTTTCAAGCTTTCAGAGAGCATATAGTTGGGAAAACAGCTCCTGTTCCTATCAAAGTGTATGATTACTATGAGCCAGGTATGTGCCTATTTGACATTTGGGAGCATTAGACCTTTAGGGCATAAAGCTCAGTTGCGGTTTCTTATTTTGCTGGCCTGCAGCTTTTGAAGCAACTCGTTTCTACAACGTGAGTGAAAACAGTCCCTTGGCTCGGGAGCTCTGTGATGGACCAACATGCAATGAGGTGGAAAGCTCAGCTAGCCATTGGGTTGGTAAGTTGCATCAAAGCCAAGCAGATTTCATGGAAAGTGGAGCCCACAGACATATTTTCCAGGAGTTCAGAACTCAAAATTCTATTTAGAAAAATGCTCCATTTCAATATCTGTGTTAGTGGACGTTTCACAAAGGTTTGTGGCATAGCAGCAGCGTTAGACTTCTGACAGCCCAACAGACCAATGTGCTCTGCTCTTCAGTCACCACAGTGGCTGTTATTTGCTTCAGAGGCAAGATATAATGTGTAATTCTGGAAGAACCTGTACAAGGTGAGGCATGTTAATAAACATAAAGGTAAAAACTCTTTAAAATGCAATTTGGTTTTCTTTCTGTAAAATATGTTGCAGTAGAGTTCCACAATGAACTCTGGGAAGATGGAACCATTTCACACATCAGTGAAAGGAATAACCTTCCCCAAAACCTCTATGTTCTTTTCTGTCCTCTGTGCCATCCAAAACAGTTGCTTCATCCTATACCTGGAATCTGCTGCAATCTGGTTCCTTCAGAAAGGCAACAGACCTTTTAATTCTACCAAGTTTGTAAATTACTATGAGAAGTCTTAGGGAATTCCACGTGAAAACTTACATCAGAGAAATAGAAGAAAGTGGCCACTCCATCTCCCTTTTCCCCATGTTACACAAGAATAGAGCTTTGGATGTTTCTGTTTACTTTCCAGGCTTTGTTCACTCTGGGCCATGCAATAACATTTTTGGCTGCTTGGAGGATGAGTATTTTGAGCAGTGCATGTGTTCGCGAGACTGTGGCTATGATGGGGAGCCTGTGTGTGGATCAGATGGCCAGATTTACCCCAACCATTGCCAGATGGAAGTAGCATCCTGCAGGAATAATACAAGGATAGAACAGATGCCCATGTCTCAATGTTCTGCCTGTAAGTTTCACTTGGTTCCCTTTTCTGTTATGATCTAATTGCAAAACACCACAAATCCTCATCTAAGCAAATAATTACACGTGTGGTAGAGAAAAGAGGGGAATTCAAAACCTATGTATTATTTTGCCATTCATACTGCAGGAGATCAAGTTATAAGAGCAGCTGCCTTTCTGCTTAGCTCAAAATAACTGGTTTTCTGTCCTCGTGAATACATGTTTTACCAAGCAGAATGAACTTCAGAGAGAAGTAGTGAATAATATGAATAACACTAATAAATGAAGTGAATAATCCTGGATAAAAGGCATCTGTGAACTGTAACATTCTTTGGAGATCCTGCATGAGCTTTCAAGATGTGCAGTCTAGTAACTGAGGGAAGTGAATACACCACCTCTGCAAAAGTTTTGTAGAGATTCATTAACACATTTTATGATTGATGCATTTATTTTTTATTTATAGCCAAGAATTTGCCTGAAGAAAGGGACACACACTCCCACCCAGCTGAGCAGCCCAGTGTTCAACAAACTCCAGCAGGTAATAACATACCTTTGCATTTATCCAAAGCCTTTTTCTTTAGCGAGGTTAAAACTTATCCTATCCCTGTGTAAAGGTATGTATGGCTCTCAAGCACATTTAAAGGTAGTGAACTTCTTCATCTTTTAGAAAAGACAGAACATTCAGAAATCAGAAAAAATGAAGAGGTCAAGGAAACTTAGTATGATCAGTATTTAACAACAGACTAGCTCTTCTAGTCCTTTTCCTTTCTGGAGATCTTGCAGGAAACCTGCTTTATTCAGTGCACATACAAGATTTAGGGAATTGTTCATAGGAGTGGGCAAGGGACCCTCCTATTTCTCAGCCTTCATAGATTTGAAAAGCACACACTTCTCTGTGAGTTTTTCTTCAATAGGAAGCTGGAAAGATCACATTTAAAACCAGGCTGATGTAATGTGTTTCAGCAAACAACTGGACAGAACATGACAACAGACCAAACCAAGAACTAGAATCCAGGTGGATTAACTTTGTTTCTAGCAGTTCTGAGCAAAACTTGAGCTGGCAGTCTTGATTCTCTCAGAGCTGCTCTTTGCAATAAAGGGCCTTAGTGAGCAAAAATGTTAAGGTCAATAGATGGAGTAGCCAGGAATTTGGCTGCTTATTTTATGTGGTGCTTATATTCATGCACTTTTTTCCAAGACTCATGTCGAACTTGCTCATGGCTCACAATAAATCTCACCAAGAAGCAGTGGAGGGTCAATAGAATAGTTTGTTTCATGCTGTTTCTAGTAAATAAACTGGACTAGATTTTTCCTGGCTGCTTTCCACTCATTAATTTTCCCCTGGTCTCTAACTCTCCTGACAAACTGTTAAACAACTTAATTCTTGCAGAGAAGGCTCAGTCCCTTCTCATGTCCTTGTCAAGCACCAGAGCTCAGACTTGCATGTGTCCAACAGCAGGCACCGTCCCATTCTTTGCTCCTTTGCTCTACGGAATTTGATGGACTTACTAAGGTGTAAAAGCACAGTGAATATTCCATTGTAACTATTTCTATAGGTCATTCAGTCTCACAGTGTTTAATGGCTCTCCTGTTCTCCCTCCTTTTTTCTGTGGACTTACTGTGGCTGTGTGTGAGTCTGTCTCTCTACCAGATTTCTGACTGTTGGAATAGCTGGGATGAATGCTAGTTGCCTTTTATTCTGTGCAAATGCTATGTACTCAGCATGGAAACTCTGTTTGCAATCTGAACCCTGTAAAGCAGCATTCCCAAAGTGCTCTGCAGGGCACTGCTGGTATGCAAGGCCATACCAAGCGTTTTGCTGCTGGGCTACAAAATGGGACTGCAATTACATTATTTTCAAAGAAAAAATGGAGAGTAAAAATATGGTTACCTGGGGAAAAACTTGTGGAACTTGACAGTAGTCCACAATCCAAACATTTTCAGAACTGTTTCTCAAATCATCTGCACCAAAGTGTCTAAGAAGAATTAACCCCCTTGTTTCTGTTGGAAACAGGCAATAGTAAGGTTGGTTCAGGAGGTTATCAATAAGAGCATAAGTGGAAATTCTGAGTTTTATTTTAGTGTGTATGTGGCATTTTTATCCAGATATTAGATTAACAAACCTGGACGCCATAAGGATGTGTTTGTCAAAGCACAAGCATTTAGAGCTGGCATTGTTCTAGGATCTGCGCGGGTTCAAGCTGGGAGTCTTCTGGAAGGCAGATACTGAACTGAGCTGTCTGAGCAGCAGGGGCAGAGTGAGCATTCAGAAATTAAAACTGACTAAATCCTGCATCAGGAAAAGTGCCCAGCATGTGATTTTCATTAATCCTCTGGGCTCCTCTCAGGTCAACCACACGGTACATGAATCAAAGTTGAACAAATGAATGAAGCCCTCCTGTACACAGGGCTCCTTTGGACTCACTGGTTTGTTAGCACTGAAGCATGTGATTGGTTTAAGTCTGCTCAGGTGCTCTGGGTTTCTAGTGCAAGTTCTGATGAGCCGTGTATAAATCTGTGATTTCCTAAAAGGATGCAAAGCTCCAGGAGCCGAATCAAGCTTAGGGCAGGTTGGTGAAACTGCCTCAGTGTGTTAATCTTCAGGAAACAGCATTTTCTTGGAGAGGCGCGTGGTGTTTATGTTGCCTGAAATCCTTCTGTATTTGCCGTATGACTTGTGCAGGCTCAGCTTGGTTTGATGGATGCTTTTCATTGTTAGTTCTTGCCTGTGTTACCCCAGCAATGGAAAGAGTTAGAGCCAGCTTCCTTCCAGCAAGCGGTGGGGAACTTCTTCATGGGTTCAGGCTCACCGTGGCAAATTCAGCCTTGCAGTGTAGTTCACACACCAGTGAGTTTGCTAGAATAAGCAGCAGCTTCTGAGTTATGCTGTCTGAGGTAAGCAATTGTAGAGAGATGGTCCTGAAAACTCAGGATGTAATGCTGCTTTTAGCACCTACTGTGTCAAAGCATTTTAAAATGCCTTTCAAAAGTCTGCAGCAGATGTTGCAGCAGGATGGCTGAGGTTTGATCTTAAAACTGTAGCCTTTTTTTGTACAGATGGGTAGATCCTCTTTGCATCTGCAGAAGTACTGTCTTGATTGAGAGGGAAGTGTGCAGGGTGATGGGACTCAGCTGAAACAGCTCATATCTGAATCCCCTTCCTCAGCTGTTCTTTCTCACAGGTGAATTACTGAGACTGAGAGGGAGGGAACAGGGTTTTGATTAGTAGCATGGACCCACCTCTGCCTCTAAGAATTGAAGCTCTGCTAATATGCTCTCACAGCCTGTTGCAGTCATATTTGTTTGGACTGAAAGCTCCTGGAGCAGGATCTTGGTTGGTAACTGGAGTATCAGTATCTTGAGTGCCTTTCTGACTGTGGCTTTCCTAAGATCATTGTCACACTAGCATAAAAAATATGGATGGATTTCAGAGCCTCAGGAATCCTCAGTAGCTCCGATACCATCTCTCTGATGAACTGGTGCTTTGATTGCTTCCAGAGATCATTAACAGTGTTCCTAAACTGCCTAAATCTTCTCTGCTAAAAGTGCTAAATGTGTAACCACTGATGCTGGAGGACAGTATGTTGGTATCATGGTGGTGATGTGATTCTACAAGCAGCGCTTGGTGGTACTGGTGCTGCTGGGGTGTCGCTCTCTGCTCTGAGCAGGCAGAACCACCAGCTTCATGTTGTCCAGCTCTCAGCTGGAGCCACATTGTTTATACAGTTCTGCTGTAGCCGTTGGAAGGGCCAGTGGCCTGAGGAAAATTCCAGGTGGGATTATGATGCTTTTATTTATTTAAAAGAGATGAGATGCCGTCCCCCATCGCTGGCTCCTGACAGGAACATCAAGTGAACTCTGCTCCAGGTGGAGTCCTCTCACCGCACTCCCTGGCAGGCGCATTATTCACAGGCGGCTGCTCTTTGAGGGTTGATTGAACTTGGCCATGGGCCCTTTTTCCTTTCACCCCATTGGTGTTCAGCAAACATTGGCTTAGGCACAAACATTTAGACGTGGGGGAGTGGTTTGTATGCAGTGGGAAATGTCAGCCTTTCATCTTTGCTTTGACTCCAATGCTGCATTCCTGGGAAGAGTGAGGTCTGTGATGTTAATTCTGTCCCTGGTGGACAGCAATCATCCATTCATAGAACATGCTTATGATCTGGCAGATTCTCACATGGAAAAGGCCAAGAAGGAGTGAACACAGAGACTGACTCTGCTTTCAGGCAAGTGTTCCCTTGCCTAGGGCTGAGCCTGTTGCTGGGAGGATGTGGGAGGCAACAGGGAAGAGCCTTCAGATATTTTATTTCTAGAGAACAAACATTTTTCAAAGGCTTTGATGAGTGTTCTCCTTAAAGAAAGCCAACTTTGCAGCACGGAGAAGGGGGACTTTTCCTCCCTGCAACAACTGTGTTTCAGTCATTGCTTCGATTTGGATTAGAGCAGGTATACAGGAAGCAAACAGGAACGATGGACAGCTGAGCTGCCTCAAGGAACAGTTTAGAAAACAGGGGCCTATTGGTATTCCTAGAAGTTTTGTGTTGCAGTCTTACCCTCTGGACAGTGAGCAGCCACCACCACAGAGAGACACAGCCTGGTTTGAGTGGGATATGTACCGTGTGAGAGACCTGCCCGTGTGTTAGTACAGACTGGAGTGAATGCAGGGGGGACAAATATCTCCTTCTGCCTGTGATGTGTCTGTTCCTGTCCCAGTCAATGGAAGTTTCTCAGTGGTCTGTGACTGTGCTGAAGCAGATGGATTTCAGCTGCTGCCAGGTCAGGCTGAGGGAGAAGCAAATGGCTTTGATGTAGGCTCGTGGTCTGTTGTGCCAAGATCTTTATTCTTGTTGGGCTGATAAGGAATCTAGCTGCTTACACTGATCTTCTTGTGACATGCACCAAGTGAACTGCTCCCTCACAGCCACCCACTGGCTTTGTAACTTACTTGTATAAAACAGTGCTTGAAAGAGTGCACACATTAATGCATTTTTGCATGGATTAGTCTCTCCTTAACTGAGGTACTTGGCTTGGACCTAGTCAGAGAGTGGTTTTGGGGTGCAGAGTAGCTGATCTGTGACATCTGGCATTCCCAAAGATGCCTCTTAATCTTACTATCCACAGAGGTCTCGGGGTGAACTGCTTCCTGACTTAAGGACCTCAGTTTTTAATACTTTAAAATTAGACGTTGAGATTTTCTCAAATTAAATGGCCCTTTTTTCCTTTTTTTTCCCCTTTTTCTCTCCTCCCTCCCCCCCGCCCCACGATTCCTTTCTTTTTTTTTCCAGTGCCCAGGTCTCAGGCTGGGAGATGGAAAATTCTGATTTCCAGCAGCTTTCCTCCTTGCATGTAAACCTAAGCAGACACGTGTATAGCCTCCTTGTGCAGTCAGGCACTCAGCTGCCCCCTGATTTGCCTCCCTGATGGAAATTCCTTTCCTTTTTCCTCACTCCCCTTTTCCATGATGCAATATGTGATGCTGAAATGCAGTTTCTTTAGCTAAACCACAACCCTTTCCAGCAGAGGAAGGCCCTCCACCACAGACAGACCTGTCCTACTACTCCTATGAGTATGACCCAGACCCCTACGCATCGGAAGCTGACGTTTTTGAGCTTGGGGCAGAACTGACAACAGCAAGCATGGTAAAAGAAGTGGACAAGATTCAGGAAGTAGTGACCACAGTAGAATGGTGAGCAGGGGAGCATGAATCTGGTTTAAGAGTCAACCTATAATGTACAAACTCATGTCTTGGGTCAAATGTATGTAATTCCTCAAAAGGAGCTGTCGTGGTTCAATTCTTACAACTGATTTGCTAAGCTCTCTAGCAAGAAATGGCCAGGAACATGATCTTGCTAGGGCAGCATTTAAAAGTCTTCATGACCCAAATGTCTCCATCACTAGCAGATTAAAAAGTGACCTTTTAATCTTTCCTCTGCCCAGCCTCAGTGAAGTTTCACAAAGATACATAATGGGAAAATGACTTTTCTTCCTTGTGTTCTCTTTTCAACAGAAATCTATAATTTAAATAAAGAGAAGAGGCTCCGAATCAACTCCTGTATGAGTTTGATCCTACAAACGACCTGCTGCAGAACAGAAACCCAACAATGACTACTTCCTGATGCACTCAGAACTGTAGGCTTTGCTGCCCCGTGGGGGGGGATCCGGAGCGCTAAGGGGGACACTCAGCATTATTTTTCTGTCAATTTTCCTGCCTTTTGTGCATCCTCTTTGGAGTACTTCCAAGGATGGGAGGAGACCAATATGCTGTGCCCTCTAGGTAAGAAAAATAGGGGCTGGATTTCAAACCTATAGACCATTTCCAAGTGTTTGCTCTACTATCGGAATACTCCAAATGCCATTTCCTAGCTACATTTAGAAGCTAAGTCCAGGCCTTGTGCTTAGCTGAACTGCTGTTTGAGGAAAGATGGCTGAGAAGTTGTCTCTCAAATTATAATAATAAAATCAGTGTGTTTTGCTAATTCTGACACAGCAAGAGGCTAATCATCTTCCTCAGCCTGTAAGTCTACTGCACCCACCACAATGTCCCACAAGAGAAAGTCTTCCCTAGTGGCTCCATGTTCAGGGAAGTTCTTGGGAGGTACCTGTTACAAGAGGAAACTGAAATCCACTGTCAGGGCTGGAGGACTTGACTGTCTACCCTCTGACTGCAGGCTTCAGGTGGGGAGTTTGCCAGCCATAGCAGGGACAGGGATTAGGTGGGTGAGCCCTCTTTGTGTTGCACTATGTGCTGATACAGGCTGCTTGCAGCCTTCTCAGCCCTTCCCTCTTTGTAACCCTGGCATGAAAATAAAGCTGACCTGAGGCACAGTCCTTTCAAATGCTTGCCTAACTTCACCTATCACTTTTATCCTGCTCCCATTGGATCACCCTACAACAGTTGTCCTGGATATGGTGATCTGTGTGCAGGCCCTGGGTCTGCTGCCCAGTACCAATGGCTGGTGTCACAGAGGCTCCCTTAGACTGACCTGCCTCAAGCAATGTGGTAAAACTAAAAACAAAAGCTTTGTGTTTCCAAAAGTGCAAGAGCCAAGATTTTTTTGGTTTCCCTTCCTGCCTGGAGCAGCATTGTTCTCTCTGGAGGAGTTACATGCAATTGCCTGTTGCAAAATGGTGTTAATATTTTATCTTCCCACTTCTATTGTTACCAGGATCCAGAGTGGGATGGAAACTCCTTTTGAGGGTGTTTATTGGTGAATGGAAACAGGAAAAAGCTCAGCTCCATTCATTTTTTTTTTTTTTTTTTTTAGAGCTTGTTTACACAGGAACCATGACAAGAATATATCCCAGTATAGACATTCCATTCCAGAATAAAGGCAATTTTATTCCAGAAAAATGTCCACATGGGGACAAAACAGGAGATATCCCAGGAGCTGGGTATATGTAGTTTCCAGTCCTTTTTGTCTGGGGCCAGATACTTGCAGAATGTAGTTGACATGATGAAGATCTGGGTCTTGAAGTTCCCAGAAGTTTCAGACCTGCTTTGCTGGCCAGTTTCCAAACCTTCCTTCATGGCTGCTCTGAGCTCTCCTCATAGGATCTTGACATGGCTGCTGCCCATATGTACCCACTGCATCTGGGCAGAGGTTTGTGCCACGTGTCTGCAGTGTTCTTGAACAGACCATGTCCTCACAGCAGAAGCACTGGTGGCTGCATTCCTGTCTGGCAGGTAAATAAATGCCTTTAAACTAAATTCCATCTCCTGTAAGCAACTGGCCTGGCAGACACTGGCTATTGTGTACACACACAGGGCTGGGTCAATATTTATCCTCTGGGTAAATAACAGACTTAGTGTGAGCTGCAACAAGAGTTTGGGGGTTTTTCTTTTCTAAATATCAAAGCTGCACAATACAAACTCTGCTGTTTGCTGGTTCCAGCCTCAGCTATTTAATACTTTGAGCCTGGGAGAATGAGACATTTAGTCACCCTGATGATGTCTGTGTGACTAGCTTCCCACAGAAGATGGGACCCACAGTCTGGATTCTTTGGTCTCCTGTCCTTGGTCCCTTTCTGGCTTTACTTTCCTTGTTTCATCCATGTATGCTCCTGGGTAGATGTTTGAAGTCATTTAATATTCTTTGGCCCTCTCATAGATCCTTGGGCAGTCAGACAGCATCCCCACTGGGGAGAAGGAGATGAAGGTAGGGAGTCTGAGCCAAGTATTAAACCTGACTTCCTTCAGTTCCCTCAGGCTCTGGTGCATGTAATGTACTAATTCAAGATGCAGACATTTCCCTTTTGCTGCCAGCTAAATAATTCCTCCTAGTGGTGCCAGCCCATCAATCATGGCCTTGTTCTGTGGTGTCTCTGCATGCCACTGCTCTCATCTGTTTGAGGCTGAGGAGTCTCACCTCTGGTTTACAACCAGCAGAAAAGGCAGAGACCTGGACCTTCAGAAGGTGAAGGCAGAGCAGCCTTAGTGTCCTTAAACAGGGACAGTTAGAACAGGACAGTGTATGTGAGGCAATGGGCAGGGTTTCTGGGTCCTGCAGCCTGACTTCACCTTGAGTGCTTCTTCCCAGCTTTGGCACTTCCAGGGAGATCACTCGTCCATCTGCCTCCCCCCATCTTGCCACAGCAAACTGACTCCTTTCTGTAGTTAAAAAAAAAGCAATTTTATTAAAGGAACTGAATAAAGGAACCTGCACTTACACGCTTGTGGTTGCCTTTTCTCCCCTGTCACTGGAGTAAAGGAGCAGGTCTCTGCCGCCTTCTCCCCCGCAGCTGATGGTCCCTTTATCCATAGATCTCCCCTGTCCTAGATTGGTTGTTCATGTTTCTTGCAATCATCAGTAGTTCTCAAAAAACCTGGATTATTTTTTTTTCATTCCTCAAAATTCCAGTTGGAATATAGAAACTCCTGGGCCCAGGTCCACGAGAGCCACTGGACACAGCATAGCCTTCCCAGACTCAACGTTACTCCATAGGCTTTGGCCCAGTTCTGATGCTGAAGCTTACCAGTCACACTCCCACCCCTGAGAACACAAGGACATCTCAGCACTGAAAAGTCAGGCTTCAACCTTGTGAAGACCAGCAGCCATAGTGTTGGAGAGAAAGGACTGATCTTTTTCACCAAGGAAGAGGTCAGTTCAATAGTTGAAAAGCCAGCAAGGACAGCAGACCTGCTGCTGCTTTGGGCTTCGACTTGGTTTGGCTTAGAGATGTTTGCCTCTGTCTGCCAAAGAAATGCTTCTCCTTTCCTTTCCTCTGATGGTCCTTCACTGCAAAAGGAGAAAAGTGACAGTGGGTTTGTAAGACACCTACTTGTATCCAGCTACGTTACTGAATGGCTGCAGCAGTGCTAGTTATCAGTGATTTTTGCTTGCAATCCTTTCAATGAAATTAATATTTATATATTTGTAACTGTACATTATGCAGAGTAATCGTTACCATGGTATTTATTTTAAAGCAGTAGTTCCACTGTTCGTTCTTGTCCACATGTTTTGCTCTTGCCAAAAAATCGGCCTCAGTAGAAAACAAACACCAGAGAACTCTTCAGCTTGCTTGAAGATCATTGAAACACCAGCACTTGCTCTGCTGACATCAACTATTGACATTTAATGCACAATAACCTGGTTTCCATTACTGTGAATGGATTATCTGGTTAGATAAACCTCCATCTGGGTTTAGTACTTGCTGTTTCTGACTGAGTGACACCAGCCCTGGCTACCCCAGGTCCCTGTGCTCAGTAGCTGGTCCACCCTGTACGTGTGCAGTGCTGTACCTACAGAGATAGGCTCTAGTTTTTTACCTGCATTTTGCCCCCACACATACATGTACACATAAGCAGTTTTGGTTTGTTCACGCAAATCTTAGCAAGTCTGAGTCCAGAAAAGGGTTTGGTTTAGATTCTGATAAATATTTTATTAAAAACTGATTTTAAGACAATCTCGTCTGCCTCTTCTTACATTGTAGGCTGTAAGTTTGTTCGCTCACAGGTTGTGATGAGGACAGAAGTCATGCCTCTACCAGTAAAACTAAAGAATTCGGGAACTCTAAGGAGGTTTATTGCTCATTTTCTGTCCTGCTGGTTATTACTGGGATGTGCTTTATTTGTGTCTGAGAGGTGAGCTGCCTGCATCCTGTCAAGTTTGTAACAGGCTCCAATAAGCAACAAGCTGGGTCACCTGTTTCGTAAGAGACAGCTTTTGATTGTGTGGTATTACACAGAAGAAGTGTAATGTCACAAAAATTACATGAGAAGGGTAATGAGCAAGGGTTTTTTCAACTCCTACTTTACTTAATTTCCCTTTAAGAGACATGATCACTTTTAAAAACTCACTAATGCTTCCTTTGCCCCAAAGAAGTGATAGATGCCAAGGCACATCTACAAAAACAGGGATGGGTGGATGGGATTTTACACTTGTCACCAACAATGTGCTAACATTACAATGGTGTTGCTTACTGATCAAGACACAAATGTACTTGCTAGAAAAGCCAGTGTTCTGTATTCTCTTGACAGAGTATTTCTGGTCAGGAGAGCACCTTTCCCACAGGTACCTCCTAATACTATTGATATGTTCAGAAATCTGGTTTTGCAAGTACCTGTTATTTTTCAGTTCTGGATGAAGGGAGTATGCATTTAAGGACAGCAAGCAAGTCAGGAGCAGAAAAAGAGAGCCAACACAGATAGCAATCAGCGTGCAAGATGCATTAAGAAACCCACACCTAGGTGTAGTGGTAAGAGCATCCCTGGCAATACGTGACCAGAAATGGTGCATGCAGTGTTCACAGTAACAGATCTATACATGTCCAGCAGTCCACATCTTGTCTGGACTCCACATCTCCCAAGGAATCCTGTGGCCCAGGTTTAATCAGCCTTAGCTATCCAGACAGGAGAAAGGACTTGTCTCCTAGGAAATGCTGCTCACTGCTCTGGATGAAACTTGTGGAATCCCATCTTTGTCTTCATGTCATCCCCACTGTATGTTGTATGTGCCTTGGGAGCAAGGAGCCGGGTTGGAGGCTTACACCAGTGAATCCTTGGAACTTTTCTGAGGGAGTGTTTCCTTGGAAGTTTTTAGGGATGTGGTGTTTTGTTTTCTGTGACTGAAGAACCTTCTTCTCACCTTATCCCGGAACTCTTCAGAAACATAGTAGTAGACAAAGGGATCAGCGCAGCTGTTAAAGGTACTGATGGCCAGGCTTACCATGTAGCCGATATACAGGTTGCCATACAGCTTGAAGTCATAGCTGGAGTAGTGAACAAGGAGGAGAACATTGCTGGGTGTGTAGAAGGCAACAAGAGTGAACAGCACGAGAGCTGTGAGCTTCACAGAGTAGGAATAGCGCTTCCCGCTGTGCAGGAGGGCTCGAAGCACCGAGCAGTAGCTGAACAGCATCACCACCAGCGGAGCGAGGAAAGCGCAGGCGATCAGGCAGATGAAGTAGTAGAAGTAATACCCGTCATCCTCGTGCCTGGGGAGGACATCGTGGCAGAGAGTGATATCTGCTCCGTACAGGGGATATGACTGCTGCTGCAGTGTCAGGGGCAGGGTGAGAACAGCAGCACAGAGCCAGACAACAGTGCAGGTGCAGGCAGCAAAGGCAGGGGTGCGGAAAGAGCGTGAAAAGAAAGGATGCACCACAGCTAGGTACCGGTCGACGCTGATGCACGTGAGCAGCAGCACTGAGCAGTACATGTTGCCGTAGAAGAAAGCTGTGGTGAGCCTGCACAGGCCTTCCCCAAAGGGCCAGTTGTTCCCTAGGAAATAGTAGACAATCTTGAAGGGCAGCACTAACACGAGCAGCAGGTCCGCTGCAGCCAAGTTCATCAGAAAGACAGTGGAAGTCAACTTCTCAGCCCTGGTGGTCAGGACCCACAGGGCCAGCCCATTTGAAGGCAGCCCCAGGAGGAAGATGAGGGTGTAGAGGCAGGGGATGAGCCGCACAGTGACCACGCTGCCCAGCTGAGAGCGTGTCGCCTCGTGGATCAGCAGGTAGGTGATGTTGTTGATGGTTGCCTTTTCGCCGGGGATGGCTCGGGGGCACGGTGTGACCGCTGGTGTCGTTACCTGCTCACTGGTGCTGTTCTGGGAGTAATCTGTTGGAGAAATGCAGTCTGTTAGCTGCTAGTTGTGCCCTCGCACTCTGCAGAGCACGCAAAATGCTTCCCACAAAGGCTGCGGGTTTGCATTTTACATTGGGGTCCCTGGAAGTGGGAGTTCTCTGGCAAATGCTGGGCAGCAGCAGCTTGCTGACAGAAGTGGGTGTGCAGGAGCAGCCATCAGCAACCTTACTGAGAAGTTACACGATTCCTCTGTCGCGTGGTTTCCCACTGCTCACAAGTGACTGCTGTGTCGTACACCCATCACCAGGCCTGGGAAACCAGAGAGCAATTCCTCTGCCCAGCTTTCAAAAGAATCCCAAGCTCTGGGGCCATGCCAGGGTAAAGTCGTGGCTGTGGGAGTCTTTTAGCTAAAGAATTTCGTTTCAAAAGTGCTCTGTTTTACTTCTTTAATTTTTCCTTCTAGTTTCTTTCACCCATTTCTTTCTCTTCCACTGTGCTTTCTATCACTTCCTGCTTCAAGTGAAGTATGCACAAAGCTCTATTAGAGTGCTCTCCCCTGTGAATTCATTAAAAAATGAGTTTTCTGGGATCTTATAAAGGTACCAAGTATTGAGGACTTTAAGAAGCAGCAGATTTCCTCCCGAAGTTACGTACTCACCATCGTAGTCTGAAGAGGCCAGGCAGAGTCCCCAGAAGGCACAGCACAGCAGCAGCCTGGGGGGCAGCCATCCATTCCCGAGGGTCTCCATGCTGGTGCAGGATCCAGTAGTGCCCTGCTGTGCTCAGAGCCGTGTGGGAAAGGCAGGATTAGTGACCCTGCTTACTCATTTCCTTCTGCTGGTCCTTAACTCACGGAAGCACCAGGCTGATCCCATGAAGGATGAGGCATCTGGGGGGCTGTCACGACCTGCACGAGTGTGTGTAGCCCAAGCAGACACTTAACTCCAGCGTCAGATGTGGGCCTGGGAGGGGCATCTGTATCCAGATCCAAAGGATATTGGGGCTGCACTTCATCATCAGAGCCAGATAATAGCTCGAGTGACTCATTTGGGCCTCCTTCCTGCACCAGAATGTTCCTAGAAATAACAATGTGGTCAGGTTTGATGCAGTCTGAATTTGGTTTAGAGTATAAACTGAGCCCACACACCTCTGACCTCCTGTGTCTGTCCAACCAGAGAAACTCAAGTGGCTCTGCATGAGATCCAAGGTCTTTCCCCATGCTCTGATTCAGAATACATTCTGGTAGCACAAATTGAGAGGGTGTCAGCCCTCAGAAACACAAAGCAAGGGAGCTGCAGTTCCAGGCAAACCTCCCCAGCTCCCAGGGATTACACTGGGCTCTTGCAGCCCCGTGTTGTGGCAATTAAAGGGTTTTAGTGTCCTGCAGCCCCTACATCAGGCTGGGCCTTTCTGAGTTCTCTTGGTTCTGCTCCTGCTGCCTGGCTAAACAGGAGGCAAAGCTCCTGCACCTTCCCTCTTGATTTCACTGCAGAGGTCGATTAAAAGTCCTGTGGGTTGAAGCTATTTGCATTTGGAAGAATCAGCACCAGCCTAGAGCACCATAACATAGGCTTGATAAGTGGCAAGACCCCCCCAGCTCCCTGGAGACACTGGGCTTCTGCTGATAAACCACCAGGAAAAGGGAGAGCTGCTCCTTCCAGCAGGAAAGGGGCCTGCCAAGGTTTGCACAGGAAGCCCCTGCTGTTGGGTAGATAATGGTGAGTTGCAGCCACTCTATCCCAAGAAGAGCTGTGTTTTTCCAGAGATGTGCAGTCTTCACCCAGCAAACCCCCACGAGGGTTGGGGACTCTGGTAGCCAACAGCTTGGAGCAGTGGTGTGCTGCTGCCCTGTGCCTGCTGTGTGTGTGGAAGATGCCTTACAAGGCGTTGTAAGACTGGCAGAGGTGACCTGAACCTTTAAGATCTTTTGCTGCTCGGTCCCCCTATCTCTAACTCCTTGCGAGTACAAGTCTCTTCCATGCTCTGCCTCACACAGCGTTGCTGGGAACATCCCAAATCCCCTCCCTTGGCTTGAGTCCGAGCCCCAGTGCGAGTGACCACTTCCCACTGATTGTCAAGTTGGGTAGGCCAGTGGGGCAGGAGGTCACAGCTTGAGAGGCTGCTGGGTTTCAAGCTCTCCAGCCCCTGCCTGGCTCTGCAAGGGAGTAAAGACAGAAGCTGGAGTCCGGGCAGTAGGAACTGTGAATTTGGTTTGGCAACCTGAGGAGCAGCTCATTTCTTTCTCCTCAGCTTATGAATGGCCTCTTCTGTGAAGGTTGCAAATCGGAGCCTGGCTGCTGTTTGATGAGATTCTGCTATTCCAAGGAGAAAATGATCCTATTTCCTTTGCTTTCACCATATTCCCACATCCTTGTGCCGAGCGTGTCAAGAGGTGGAGTTCCACTGGCAGGGACAGGGAAGATGCAATATTAGATGTTTTGCTTTTGTGATTCTCTCAGGATTTATGAACCATTATAGAATGACTCATGTGGCCACATATTTTCCATGCCTCAGCCAGGATCCTTTCCATTCTGTGCATGCAAAAAATTAGACATAATCAGGTTCAGATAGTGTGCAAATCACAGCCCTGCTTCCTATGGCCAGGTCTCTGGAGTGGAGCAGAGAGAGGTTACTTGTTGCTGTGTCCTTCATTTTTCAGATGCTGTGTGATCTTTAGTGACTGCTGTAGATACAGAACAGCTTGCTTGAGAATTCTGATGCCAGAGGTTTGTCATGGCTTGTTAATATCTCTTTACGTCGTGTGATCCCTGCCCTGTGGGGTAATGGTTTGGTTCTCAAGTAATTCGTTGTTCAATAGATCATTTCCTGGGAGAAGGCGCTCTTTTATTCCATGGCTCTGACCCTTAAAGATTCAATGCTGGAGAACAGGCTTGGGGTGTGGAAGCTCAGAGGGAGGGTACAAACACCACCTGGCCTATCCCATGCGTCTTGAAGGCTTCGAAGAGCAAATTGGGGAAGGTAAATCACTGGGTTTGTGATTTCTGCTCTGTCCCAGCAGCTCCAGAGAGTTTTTCAGCTGCAAGCTCAAAGTGTGATATCAGGAACCTTGGTGCAGCCAATACCTGCCCAGGCTGAGCTCGTGTGTGACGCAGACGTGAGCTGACCGCGGAGGCGGCAGCTCTGTCCATCACCAGCACCTCACGTTTTCCGTGGGTGCAGGACTGGCTCTGCCTTCCCCAGCTGGTGCAGCCACAGAAACCTTCCCCCGCTGACTGAGACAGAAACGATGGCCCTTTGGACCAGGATCCCCCCACCCCAGAGTTGTCTTTGCAGGCTCCGGCACCTACAAGACAACTTCATGCCTTCTGCACCCTCCCTGACTTTGCCATCACACCAGTCCCATTCCTCTTGCTTCATCAGGGTTTCTTACCATCACCACAAGACTCTCCAGCTCCAGGTAGTCTCCCTGCCTCTCATCTTCTTGTTCCACAGTTCTCTTCCCACCCAATCTTTTTCCCTGGGATACACCACACCTTTTGTGCTCACATTCACCTCACTGCTTGTAAGCCTTATGCTGGTGGAATACTTCTGGGGAGACAGGTTTTTTCCAGACTTACTCTTCCGCTTGCTTGCAGTTTAATTAGCATCACTCCAACTCACTAGATGTTCTGGAATAGCTTCTTCTGGTCCTTTCTCAGCAAGATAATGACACTGGCACAGGGACTACCTTGCATGAACCAGACACCATCATCCCCTTTCAGCACTGGGTCTCACTGGATTCATCCTTCAACAAGTGTATAGTTCAGAATTGTGAGGCTTTAATTTAGTCTTTAATTGTGATGAGTGGGAGGTGAAGGTAACTCCAGGTTCATTAAGGTTGAGTTACTTAGTTCTAATCTAGAGGAATGGCTAAAGTGGGAAGGAAAACTCAACTCACATTTGCACATACTTCCAGACCACCTCTGCCTGGTTCACAGCTCTTTGTGCATGACTGTAATACACAAACGTGAGACAAGAAGGTCCTGCCATATCAAATCCTGGATGCAGGTATTCCCTTGAGCAATTCCTAATCGAATTTATTAAACCATTAATTCTTATTCCATCCTACAAACCTGAAAGCCATTTTTAAGCTGTCTTCTCTTGTCCTTGCCAAAGCCATCCACTTGCTGAGACCTCCCGACTGCTTTGGGGTGATGTCAGATCTGGCTGTCCCTCCTCTTGAGCAGAGGGCATGTCCTCTTTGTGAGCAGCCCAAGATCTCAGCAAGGAGACTTGTGTGAAGTGGACTGTGTCCTCTGAGACACCACAAGCAGCATCTTAACTATCCCATGCAACGTATGCATCAGAGGATTGTTATTAGGAGAACAACAGTTTGTTTCCCTGTGAGCAAGGCACACGCTGCTCAGAAAGCAGAGTTGCCTTTTGTTATGGCAACGGAAGTGTTGAGAGTGATGTAAAGGAAACTCCTATCAGATCTGGGTCACATCACTACAGCTTAATTTGCAAGATCTACACATTCATTTGCTCCACAGAGCTCACAGGGAACACAGTTAAACATGTTATTACCCAGGAATTCGGGGAGGTTGAGGGGAAGGCGGGTGGAGGGTTATTTTCATGGTTGCAGTTCTATTGGCTTAACCTGTAGCAGATGTGCTTATGGAGCTTGGAACTGGAATCAGTCACTTCTCTTGAACGTCTGTTGCATTTAGCGTGCAAGTACTTGGGGCCAGGCATGGACCTTATTTTTATACCACACTTCTCATGGCAAAGGTGAAACAAACCAACCCACAAAACCTCCGCTTTCCTGGCACCGCACCACATTCTCTTTTGAAACCTTCCTGGATGGAGCAACTGTGCCACCCCATGGCCTCCCCTGCTCTCAGCCAGCCCTGGGCCCTTGTGTGCCTGTTGCTCACCACTTGCAGGGAAACTCATTTCACAGAATCACAGATTGGTTTGGGCTGGAAGGAACCTTAAATCTTATCCAGCTCCAACCCCTGCCCCGTGCAGGGACACTTTCCACTAGAGCAGGTTGCTCCAAGCCCCTGTGTCCAACCTGGCCTTGAACACTGCCAGGGATGGGGCAGCCACAGCTTCTCTGGGCACCCTGGGCCAGCGCCTCAGCACCCTCCCAGGGAAGAGCTTCTGCCCAAGAGCTCATCTCAATCTCCCCTCTGGCAGGTTCAAGCCATTCCCCTTGTCCTGTCCCTCCCTCCCTTGTCCAAAGCCCCTCTCCAGGTCTCCTGGAGCCCCTTTAGGCACTGGAGCTGCTCTAAGGTGTCCCCTTCAGGAGCCTTCTCTTCTCCAGCTGCCCCAGCCCAGCTCTCTCAGCCTGGCTCCAGAGCAGAGCTGCTCCAGCCCTCGCAGCAGCTCCGGGGCCTCCTCTGGCCTCGCTCCAGCAGCTCCACGTCCCTCTTGTGCTGTTCCCCAGAGCTGGATCAGGGCTGCAGGGGGGGTCTCCCCAGAGCGCAGCAGCAGGAGGAGAATCCCCTCCCTCAACCTGCTGCTCACGCTCTGGGGGTGCAGCCCAGCACACAGGGGGGTTCTGGGCTCAAGCTCACACTGAAGCCAGGTCATGGGGAGCTCATTCTGATTCGTTTCCCTTTTATGTTGTTCCCTTTTTATGTCAGGGAGTGCACTCACAAACACCCCGTGCACTGGCTTCTCAGTGTGGGCAGGGTGAAAGATCTGTCGCCTGGTGGCAGTGGGTTGGCACGCACCTAAACCATCACATCCTGGAGCCTGTCCAGCAACTACCTGAAGGGAAGTTCATCCAATTGCATTTTTTACCATTTCAAATTCAGTTTCAGGTGCAGGGGCTTGGCAGGAAGTTTAAATTCATTTTAAATCAAGTTAAGGCAGGGAAA